AGTCAAGTTTATGGCAGAAGCCACTTCCACCACCCACTTACATCTGTTTAGGCCATGGGTGGAAGTTGTCAGGTGCAGACTTTCCACTGGTGCTGCTGAGGTCAGATCAGGACTTCCCTCAGGTCTGAATTCCAGGTAGAGTCCAAACGCTTCTCTTCATTACCCACTTCAGACTGTGTCAGTGTTACAGGAGTTTGCCTGAAAAATCCACTGCTTAGGTTTTGCTGAGAACCATTTTTATCCTTAAGTTCAGCATAGGGCAATGGGGAGATGTTATCAGAGAAAATTAGAGAAAAAATAACAAATACTTATCCAAATGGTGCAGACTCCAAAGTGATTTTTCTTCATCTTTCACAAGGGATCAGGATATTCCTCATCTCAGAGCAAAATCAAACACCTTACTAACCCCCCTTATCCATCCTTTAAACTATCAGCTAGGAGCTGAAGTGCTACAGTGTCGTCTGTGCATGTGCTCTGCCATCTTCTGGTCAGTTTTATTGGTTGTGCTTTTGGTAGGAAAAAAGATATTAAAATTAAAGTGGGGGGAAGGGGGTAAAGAAACACGAAGGTTGTAAAGAAAGGATGTATTTTAATAAATGAAATATTAACAACAATTCTTATTTTTAACAACATATGCACAGAAATAGAGAATGTCAGAGCTTGCACCTACACAGATCATAGAATCATAGAAGGGTTTGGGTTTGAATGGACATTCAAAGATGACCTAGTACAGCACCACCTGCCATGGTTAGGGACACTTTCCACTAGACCAGGTTGTTGAAAGTCCCATCCAGCCTGGCCTTGAACACTGCTACAGGTGTGGCAAATGTTGGAGTAGTTACAAGGAGTCTTTTGTTTTCACTGCCAGGATGTCAGGAGACTTGCACATCCTTGTGGCTATGCTCACGGCCTTGTTGTGAATGCAGCATCCATAGGAGAGAATCAGAGCTCTCTGGGATTACATTCCTTCCCCCTGTTTACTCCTTCATTTCAGGTTTTCCTGCAATCTCTAACCAAACCACAAAGACAGCACTGATGCTCTTTTGAAACAGTTGCACGTTCCTCCTGCTTTTAGAAGTGCTGATGCATGTTGGATTTGGCAAGAAAAACTTTTGGTTTTTGTCTGCAGGTGGTGAACAGACCTGGCTGATGGCAGTCCAGGTGTTTAGCTGAATCATAACCCATTTTAACTGTACTAAGCATTAACCCTTTGCAGAGTATGTGTTTCCTTTCTGCTGGCTGGAGAAAGTGCATCTGACATTTTTGCAGCTTCTCTGCACACAAAGACCTGTGCTACCTATAAGCATGCATGCTGATAACCACGCTTCACATGAGGAGAAGGGAAATGGGATTAGCTCATGTCACTCATGGCTAGCTCTTGATTGAGACTACACATGACCACAGTCACCTCTTTTGGATAGTCTGGTGTCTAGTCAGGGCTGAGGGATGTGCTCCCATTTTGTTGTTCTAAACAGTTGTCTGCAAGGGAGCATTTCTTCTCTAATTTGAAAAAGCTCTCTCTTGTTCCTGAATCTGCTGCTTCCACTTCCATATTGTCTATGCAAAGAATTGTCTCAATCTCCACAACATATTTGCCCCAAAGATCAGCCCTCTGACAGAGGAATTACTGAGTTAAGCCATGATAAAACCTGGCCTCTGCCCTCTCCATCTCTCTGGAGCTGACAACAATTGCTGTGATTTACCTGCAGCTTCTCCATGGCCTTTCCCTGTGGGGAGAGACCAGCTAGGCAGTAGGCAGTCAGTCCTCATCCCCTCCTTTTCCTTAAGAGAAAAGATGGTGCTTTGGGGATCTGTCAACACTCAGGGCACAGGGCAGTTTACCTCTTCAGTTTGTCAGGCAGGAAATGAGTGACCTGTGTGGAAAAGGACAATGTGGAGGACAAGGAGGTGGCTTGCTGTAGCCATGGGAGATTTAGCAAAAGGTGTAATGGGGCGTGGAGTTCAGCAACATTTTGTCTGCTGCCCTGTGCCATATGGGATGGACAGGTGTTGCCCAGGGTGGGCTGCAGCGGGGCTACAGTCACACCTGCTCTTACCTCCTCACCCTGCTGGTCAGGACTCTGAATAACCTGGAGCAAGGACAGAGCACAGAGGAAGCCAGTAGGGTGCTGAGGACTGTGCCACAAGCAAAATGGGGAAGGAGAGGAGGCAGAGGCAAGAAAGTCACCAGGTCTACCAGCAGCACAGATGGCTCAGAGCAGAGGGGCTTGGAGGGGCCCCTGCTATCGCTCCACTTCCAGTGAATTGGTGGTTACTAACACCAGCACCACAGTCCAGTTCTCCTTGAACCATCTTCAGTATCCACAACACACAATTAGCTGCTGTGCCTGCATGCCCCTCGGAAGGAGGGAGAAATGTGGCTGCAAGCTCAGCCTTCAGCTTTCGTTATTTGCTTAGTGCAGAGGTGATGTTTTCTGGTAAATAATAGCTGTCCCCTTTCACTAGCTGAGGTATACATTTCCAAAAATCATGTGACCAGTTACTCAGGACAGCTGCCCTTGACCTCTCATGCTGCAGCAGGGCTGATGGCCAGCCAGAGTCCTGTAGCATGAGGTAGGTGGCATTGGCAGGTCCCCATCACTGCCTGGGCAGCTGGCCTGCAAACCCACTTTCCCTGGCTTACTGCACTGGGCAGGAAATTACTTCCATGGGAACTGGTTGCTAGAGCAGGAACAACTCCCTCAGTTACTCCATCCTGAGGAACTGCTAATTTCATATCTGACACTGTCTGCAGGCTTCATCCTGGAAGCAGCAACCCTCTAAGCTGGGGGCAATCCTTAAGCAAGGCTACAGGAAATAGGGTGTGAGTCTCCTTAATGAAACACATCACCATGTGCTCACTGTGATAATTAAAGGAATGGAAGAAGAAATCCCAGTAACACTTCATAAGGAAAGATGTGCAGAAAGGACTGCCCTTTTAAAACCCTCCACAGTCATACAAAAATTAAAATATAAAGCCTGTTGCATTGATACCAATACAGAAAAAGCAAAGTCAGTGCCATATGTACTGAGTACACTGTGTTCTATTCCGAAGCTTCTCAGTCAAGGGATACTTTTTTAAAAAAATACATACAGTCAGAAAAAAAATGACCATTCTAAGATCTGGTAAGAATACAACTTCTGAAGCTCTGTGTTGTTAATATTAACCCAATTTGAATAATTAACTTATATTTAAATAATTCCTTAATTGGTTTGCAAAATGTAAACAGTTTCTAAAACTTGTGTTTTAGAAAGTCCTGTGCTGACATCAAGTGGTGACATATTTTTCAAGCCAAAGGGAGCCAAACTTGCTGTACTGCATATGCACAGGATGATTTTATTACCAGTGAGTAGGTAAAGGCAAGTAGTCACAGGTCACTGGCAGGTGCTTCCATGGGGATGGACAGACAGAAGAGTTTGGAGAAGCAACACAACCACTGATGTGCAAAAGGCAAGAAGGGTGGGGTGAGGTGAGGTGAGGTGAGGTGAGGTGAGGTGAGGTGAGCTGAGCTGAGCTGAGCTGAGCTGAGCTGAGCTGAGCCTCCACAGCAGCTCCTGGGCACAGGAGGTACTGGCTGAGCCTCCCAGCACCCACCAGATGTGACCACTGGCAACGGCCCTCCCTTTCTCTAGCCAAGAAACTTCTGGTTGGGACAGGTACGATGGGGCTTGGTGGCCTCAGAGGAGTGAGGAGACAATGCAGGGTCCATTTACTAAAGAAAACTCGACACACAGTTAACCAAAGAGGATGGAAGGCTGTACTAAGTAGTTCTGCAGAAATATCAAGGAGGAAAAAACAAATACGTAAGGTTATGAACTGACTGTGAATAAAATCAAGCTTGATATTAGAAGAGTTTTAACTCCAAGTGAACTTCTGGAGCAACAGCCCTGTGGAAATTGTACAGGACACAATGCAGTTTTAAAACTGAGGTTGATTATTTGCTGAAGGCATTAGATTCTGTGATGTGAGCTGTAACATCAGCCAGGGACTGGCCTTGGTGAGGCATGTGGTCTGCTTCCCTCACCTGCCTCAGTACTCACTGAATCTTGTTTTAAAAGTTGAAATTGATGGGAAGTGAAGTTTTATTTGGGGATTTACCCATGGATGCTCAGATGAGTTATACTCTGTTAAAGGAACTGCATACTCAGATACTAGCTGGGGATTTATGACATGAAAACACACAATGGTCTCTATGACTAAAAAAAACCACTCTCTGTCTCAACAGCTGTTGCTCTGAGTGTAGAAATCATTTCCTGTTCTTCCCAGAAGCCTGCCTGTGCTGGGAGCCAAAAGACTCCCTGCAGTACCATTGCATTGTACACCAATGGGTTTATCCTTCCTCTTGTCCAGGGTTGGGAAGAAGGGTCGCCCCAGCCACTGGATGCATAGCTCAGCAGCCCACGAAGTGCTTTGGTCCTCTCTGTATTTACACCTCCTTTCACAGACTCTGTGTGTTTGTCTCTGTGGGACTGGGATCCTGACATTAGGAAACAAGTTTCACATGCTTCATGGCTGGGCATTACAAACCTAACAGTGAAAAAGAAAAATGCCATATCCACTCAGATGCATCCCTAGGGGGAAAATACCATGCTTGGGTGCTGGGTTGTTCCAGAAGCTGGTGGGATTTGCCCATTGTGGCTAAGCCTTGGCAAATGTTTTATAGGGACAGTGTATGAAAAAGCCATGTCATAAACTTGCTCCCTGTGGTCATTGTCCAGCTCGTGCTTTGATATGGTACAAAGAAATGTTCATATTGTTCATCTCCACCCACGCTGTGTTATGGTAAGTGAAGGCTGGGGCATAGGAGGAATACCCAGATCTTGGAGCAGCTCTCAGCCACGCTGGCACAGGTCTACACTGTCAACCAGGGCACTAAGAGAAGGGGCACTGTTGCACCACTAAGCAGGGGGTTGGTTTTTGTTTGGTTTTTGATATTTTTTTTTTCATGTGTTGACATTACAGCCAGGATTTGCCCTTAGAGCTTTTGTTTTCTCATGAGCAGCTGGACTTTAAACTTCATCTCTCCTGTAGCTGTTTTGCCCAAGAGCTGCAGAAATGCAGGCAGGCGCCATTAGGCTCAGAGGGTAACAATGACAAGGTGCTCTTGGATAATATTGTTCCTTCTCTCTGCCCTTTTCCGTCAGACAGAGCAAACAGGTATGGCCTTTGTTTTGTTGTGCCTTTAATTCTAATTTGTGTTACCAATCCTCTAAAAACACCAGTAATTTTGTACTTTGTATCATGTCTACTTTGCAGCACGGGGAAACATCCCTGAAGAATGTCTCTTCATAATTTTCCTTATATTTCTCCTGTTTATTTCATGCACCTAAGTGAAAACTGCAGTAGGTTACTGAGGCAATGTAATTTTAAAGTACCATCATTTATGCCAGGGTAATATTTTGTCTTTTCTTACAATTTTTAAGTACCCCAGATATTAAAGAAAACTGTTTTATATTTCTAGTTGTTGCTGACATAAATACAAGAGAATTGTATTAAAGAGGCTGATATGCATTCTTGTTATAGCTTGAAGAAACTTGTATTAATCCTTCATGTTTTGTCAAAAATAACGAGGAGTCGGGCAAGGAAGAAAAAGATAGTGACCTCTTAAGAAGGTCAAAACACCTCTGGCAGCAGTAGAAGTGCACTGCCAGCTGTGCTGGATGTGGCAGAGCCACTGCACAGCAGAAATATATGTTGGGGGTCAGATAACTTTTTAAAATATAAATCATGGTCATGAAGCTTTTTCTTTCTTTAATATCATGTGCAAGCCAATTGCTTATGGGATAACCTTCAAAAAGATAAACATCTGTATGCAGTTTCAGAATAATTTTGTTACTGCTCTCACTTTTTCCAATTCTGTGATCATTAATTATTTTAACCTGGCGGTGTTGGCCCTCCAAATGCTGTATAAACGAAACAAACAAAACAACCCAAGCATTCCCTGACCCAACACGTTTACTTTCCAAGTACAGAAGAATTGACAAACACCTGCAGACACACACAGCCACATACTGCCTAATGTGGGGGCAACAGTCTCCAGCACTTTGCCAGCTGCCCAGCAGGCAAGCAGTTTTTGTTGCATATATCATTGCAAAGAGGAGTTTTAAGATCTGATAACTCTCATGTCTTTGAGCCCTCCTCCTCTTTACTCAAATAAAAAAGATTATGGTATCTCCCACATAAAGGGTCGTATGTTATATAGCCCTCTTCAACACGAGCATTGCTGAGGGGTAGCTTTTATTTATTCTCCTTAAGAGAAAATAAATTGAGAACTCAGCCATGTCACGGCTTTGCTTCTCAGCAAATAAATTGCCATGAACTAAGGCTGAAGAGTGTCAGTTTGGATCCACCATCATAAGCTAACACAACTAATATTCACTTCTACTGATGAGTTTGAAAGCCCTATGCAGTCTCACAAAATAGTCTCTGCCTTTATGTTAATGTTTCCCCTTTGCCTGGCTGCGCTACAGCATTGCTGCTCTGTGTGTCTCATGCAGTAAAAAAATGTGTCAGGAAGGGCCTCAAATTCTCTCTGCTTGGGAGCATTTCATCTCTCTGCTTTCAGGCATTTCCTAAAAGTAAAAGGTCACAACTTCTCTGCTGAATTTGGGCTAAGAAAGTAGAGCTCTTTAGTTATGTAAGTTCATGGCTGAAACCATGGATGAGCCAAAATTAATTCTCTTTTAGAAAAGGAGATAAAAATATTCAAGGAAATGAATCTAAGTACTTACATCAAGAAAAACCCTTACATTTTGTCATACAATGTTCCAGTGTTTATATCAGCTGACGAGGCAAACAATGTTATCAAGAGACAGAGGCGTGCCAGTTCCCACCTTCTGGAGGAGATCCTCCAAGGCAGCTTGGAAAGGGAATGCCTTGAAGAGAGATGTACACATGAAGAAGCAAGAGAAGTATTTGAAAATGATGAAATGCTTGTAAGTATTTTGTTTTCCTGTGTGCATAATAAAAATTGCCGCCTTGATCTTTTTCTTACTAAACACGGCTTCACAGACTGCTTCATTTGTTTGGGTTTCTCTCCATGTAAAATCTTTGCACTTCCCACTTCAGTAGGTAGAAAGCAGTTGTCTTCCATGGTCAAAATGGAATTGAAAAGGTCAGCTCTGACATTTTTCAAGTCCCCTCCTGAAAGTTAGGCGTCCTGCGCCTTATGTTGTGAAATCATATGGTTGTTGTCCCATCCTGACCACACACAGAAATACTTCCTGCATGGATGAACAGGGAGCTTCTGGACAAACTCAAACACAGGAAGAAAGCCTATAGAGGGTGGAAGCAAGGACAGGTAGCTGCTTGGGAGGAATGCAGAGAAACTGTGAGCAGTCAGGAATCAGGAAAGCGAAAGCCCTGAGTGAATTAAACCTGACCAGGGATGTCAAGGGCAACAAGAAAAGTTTCTATAGGTATGTTGGTGATAAAAAGAAGACTGGGAAAAATATGGGCCCTCTTCAGAAGGAAATAGGAGAACTAGTTACTGGGACATGGGGAAGGCTGAGGTACTTAATGACATTTTTACCCCAGTGTTCAATGGCAAGTGCTCCAGCCACACGACCCAAGTCACAGAAGTCAGAAACAGGGACTGGGAGAATTAAGAACCACCCATTGTTGGAGAATATGCAGTGGTAGGAAAGGGGCAAGGTTTTAAACTGCAAGAGGGTAGATTTAAATTGGATATTAGGAAGAAATTCTGTACCGTGAGGGTGGTGAGGCACTGGAACGCATTGCCCAGAAAAGTTGTGGATGCTCCATCCCTGGGGGTGTTCAGCCAGGCTGGATGGGGCTTTGAGAAACCTGGTCTAGTAGAAGTTGTCCCTGCCCATGGCAGGGGGAACTAGATGATCTTTAAGGTCCCTTCCAATGCAATTCTGTGATTCTGTGATAGGGATGGAGGGAAGCAATGCACCAGCAAGTAGTTACACCTATAGAAAGAGGTTCACTTGCTCAATAGCTGCAGATCCCTTGTACAAGAAGCCCTCCTGACATGTACAAATGGATGCTGTGCTCTTTAATGGGAATCTCGATGGAGATTTTGTTTTCAGGGCAAGCAAAGGAAACAGCTGTAGGGCTGCCCATGCATAGCCATGGTGCTTTGAGGAAGGGAATGGTAGGGAGTGGTATCCCTTTGGAAAAAGCAGCATTAGAGTCAGCTGCAGTACCAAGGGAAATGCAGGGCACGTGATGGTGACTAGTGTTGACAACCTGCAGCTCTGCTCTGTGCTGACCCTTCTGCCTCCAGCAGCACCTCCTGGGGGCCAAGCAGTATGGGACAGGATGGGGTCACTTCCCAGGCTGCTGCATGCCAGGGAGACAATAGCCAGCCAGTTTTTCCAGGAAGCTGCTAAAGGATTCAGCTGTTCCTCTCTGGCCTGTGAAGTGTTTATTTTTCTTTATAGCTTATTAAGAAACAATAAAATAAGCAGGAGACAAACCCCCTCCCATCTCATGCATATTTTGCTAGTAGGGCAGAATTTGTAATTGTGCAACTGTGCAAACATCAAACTGCAGTATATATTCTCTCATAGCATGTTTTTCTTTTATCAAAATATTTATGGGTTATGACATTATTTAAGAATTAAAATCTAATTTTCTTTTCTTTTTTTTCCCCCCAGAAAATGTTTTGGGACATCTACTATGGTAAGCTGGCCCCTTGATTTTTCTCCTTCATAGTACTGTTACATTGTGAACAGTATGATCTTATCCAGTGCTGGTTTTCTAAGAGTTTTTAGCAGTTTATTCTACAAGGAACATCCAGTCACTATTTGTCATGGAAAAGTCTTGATGTTTTAAAAAGAGTAGTAAATAGGAAAAAATTTTAGGCTGCAAAAAAAGGATAAAAGTTGAAGTGAGCCAGTGTTATCATAGTAAATAGGCTACTTCTTTTCCTGAACTTAAAACTGTTCTGAATTAACCTGGGCTATGAGAATATCTGTTTTACTGATACAACAGAGCAGCACAGCTTTACCAGCAATATCTCCCAGACCTAGCAACTAAGCCTGAGTGAGATAAATAGGTGTTAAAAGCTAGTGGGCTACCTACAAACTCTGGATGCTGGCGCTGCATCATCCCCTGGCAGCTGTTGAGGCAAGAAACAAATCTGCAGAAGCTGAGGGTCTGATGTAACTAGATGCCTCCTGAACAAGGAGCCTGTGGCACCAGCTTATGGTGACTATGCCATATTCCCTCTCTTTTCTGCATGGCTCATTCCAAGCTTTTCTCTTGCTTTTAACTTAGCTTTTATTAATTTCTAATCTTAGGTTTAGACAGTAGATAAGGAGTGGCAAAACCAGCAGTCGGTATTAATTTTCTGCAGAAGCCACTAAAACATTGAGTCCAGGGAATCATTACATAGAAGAATCCCATCAGTGCTATATAAATTTTATGAAGAATGATGCTAAATATCTGGCATGTTATTACTTCTGTGAGGGTGGGATTAACTTCTAACTTCAGTCATTGCATGTTTGTACTAAGCATGTCATGCAGGCTTCCCCTCTTCTCTAGAAAAAGAGAAGGGCAGCCAGTTCAGAATGGTCCATGCAAACAAGCTTAGCCACAATCAGGACACATTACTGGCTTCAGCCTGAGGAATGACTTCCTTGCTGTAATTAAAAGCCATATGTTCTGTCTTCTTCCTACAGAACAGCAGTGTGTGCTTCCTTCTTTGTGATGTCTTCTCTAACATTTTAAAGAGTGTTGCCTTTGAAGAGTGGCTTCTCTCCTCCTCCTTACTAAGCAAACACATTCTTCCATCCTGTCTTCCAATAATCTTGTTTTCTAGACTTCTGGTATCTGTTTTGCTTTTCCCCCAAAGTCCAGAGTACAGTGGGTAAATCTGCATTGTGAATAGGAGTGCTGGGGAGAAAGGCTGAGCACACACCCAACTGCTGGGTCACCTTTTCACTCTGTTTTGTACTGTTCCACTTTTGTCCTTCAAGTCAAAGCTGATGTAGCAGCGTCTTGCTGGATGTCAGGGCACTTCAACTGAGGTCATACTTGTCCCTGACCCTCTTTTATTAACAGTATAAACTTAGCCATTGACAATCTCTCTTAAAACATTACTTTTTTAACAGTTTTGTCCATGCCTTATAGCAGTGTGTGTTTTCTTAACTCACTTAATGACAGTGTCATCTGAGACATTTCTATTCTATGATGTTCTCTGATTCCCCCTAGATTCCTTATCCTATAATATGATTAGATTTAAATGGTTTGGATTATTTGATCTTGAAAAATGTACGTTGGTTGTTACTTACCACCTTTTTATTTTGCTGGGTGCTTACAGTTTAATCATCCCAGTAGCATTCCAGTAACAGAAATCATGCTGATTTCTCTATAATTACCTGTGTCTCCTCTTTCCTCCTTTAATAAAGCTAGGTGCTAGATTTACTGTATCCCCAGCATGCATTTCAGAGGCTTGAAACCATCTAACTGCTTCAGGCTGCAGGCATAACCCTTTCCCTAGCTCCAGCTACCCATGACTGCTCCTGGAAGTCCTCACTCCTCATCTCTGCCTGCTCAGCTGTGGAGACGAGACCCACCTAACCCACCCAAAAAACCCTCCCAGGAGGCCTAAATTGTGCTGGGGTATGCTGGTGGCATCTGGCTGCAGACAGGCTGAAGGTGACAGCTCTTTCAGCCAGTATTTTAGTACATTTAACACTCAAAGATATGCATGCCCATAGCCTGAGAAGATGGTGATTGGTGCTTTTTTTCGCAGTAATAGGTAGAGTTTTCATCTTTCTGTCCCTGATGTCACACTAGGGCAGCCCACTGACTGAGGCTAACCTCTCGAATGAAGTGTTAAATTTTAGAAAGTTTAGGCTTTTCTGGCTCGCTCACTGATAGCTTATATCTACAATAAGCAGTTTTTCTTTGGAGCATGTTTCCAAACTCTTTTGGAATCTTTCCAGTAGGCAGCTTGAAGGGAAACTGGCAGCTTTGCCCAGTGCTTCACTCGTAGTGAACGGGACATCCTCTGGTTTCAGCATTTGGTTCATCAGAAAGACTAAACTTGCTAGTGTGTGACCTGCTGTATAATAATTGTACAGATATACAAGAGGTTTCCTCCTATTTTGATGTTGCTTGCTGTATGCTTGTTATAGAATTTTGATGCCAACTTTTTCTATCCAGTGCATATCAACCTAACATGGGAGACCTAAAACACCAGTCTCATACTACATTTTTAAACAACACATGGAATTGTAACTCAGTCCTTTTCCCTGAAGCAGAGCATCTGTCCTCCAGAACCAGACTCTGCCTCTGGGCACCTTCCAGCCTCTCTGACACGGGCTGCAAGAGTGCCTCTGGAAGTAGATTTGGGCTAAAGTTATCCCTGAGGAGCAGATTGGTGAGACTTAGCCCATTTCCTTGCAAACCGCTTTCACAACATTTCTCTGTTGTTACCTTTTTATTTTGCTGGGTGCTTACAGTTTAATCATTCCAGTAGAATGAGAAGCTCGTGTGTTGGGAAGGGGGCTATGTAATTCGGGGTCAGTGGTGGTGGTGATTCAACCCTATCCATTTCTTCAGAGGGCAGGAGGTGCTCCTCGAGCCCCTGCCAGAACAATGGCGTGTGTGAGGACAGCATTCGTGGCTACACCTGCACTTGTGCTGAGGGCTACGAGGGAGAGAACTGTGCTTTCGGTAAGGCATCGCCCCCTTCTAGAGAAGCCTTATCTTCTCCTTTCAGAGGGGGTTCCCATGAAACCATACACAGGTGTCCCATTATACAAAAACATCATGTTTTTGGTTAAAACACAGTTCTTGGTAAAGCAGGAGTGATATGTGCTGCCCAACTACAAAACATTACAGCATCCCAAGGCTATGCAGTCTGTCCCTGCCCCGAGTCTCCCTTCTCTGGAGATGCAGCAAAAGGGCTGAAGCAAAACCACCTCATGGGTGGGCTGTAAAGGCAGCCCTGCCACTGCCACCTGTGCTACATGGCTGCTTGCCCTGCTGTGGTCCCAGGTGGCAAGTGGCCTGAAGAACCAGGGCTGCAGTGCTGGAGTGGCTGGCTGCCCAGGCAGCCCAGTGCCTCTGAGGCCACTCACACCCACAAGCTGGTCCCTTGGGACAGAGGGACTCCAGAAGACAAACCGTTTCCAGTGGAACTGAAAGGCATAAAGCAAAACAGATGCTTTCTGGCACATGAAACACCCTGGGCCATATCCTACACTTTTACATCTGCCAGGTTCTACTTTCCAGCCCTTACATCAGTATTTCTGCTGGTTCAGAGGTCCCCTGGGGTGGGAGACGCCCTGGCTGCAGCAAGGCAGGGTCATTTTCTGTATAAGGGGTGTGACTGTGACCAGCTTCTGGGAGAGGACAGAAGGTGACACAGTTTGGACCAGTGCTGGGAACTGGATCTGTTCAGTGTGAGCCTTAAGGAGCCATGTTATATAAGGTTTTTTGCTACTTCTCCACATATGAGCTAGATCAAACACCTATTGCTTTGTGCTAGAGCTTCAAGTGTTTGTTCAGCTATGGAAAGTTGACTGAACATGTTTCTAAGTTTATACTTCCTTTCTTTTTTTCTTATCTTTGGCAGCTGATAATTTAAAGTTTCTTAGAACGAGTGTGCAAAATAAGAGCTATGCATTTGTTCTTTCTGAAAAACAGAAACCTTGGCTGCCTTCTTCCTCAGGCGATAGTTGCCTTCTTAGCATGTGCAACAGTTCCTCTCCCTGCAGATACTGTGTTTTGTTTAAAAAAACCATGGCATCCTTCCACGGGTTGACATGGAAGGTCCAGGGCTAATGCTCCCCAGAACTCAAGAAGTGCAGAGAATCAGTTCAGTGAGATGCTGGGGGAACACAGTTTGCAATGAGTCTGTGGATGTCGCACTCGCTCTCTCAAATTTCTGCTTAACAAGGGAAAAATAATGTGTTGGGAAATACTACCAAGCTGGAGTCCCTACCTGTCTCCACACAAAGTGAATAAAAATAAAATGTAAAGAGGACTCAGGCTATGAAAGAATACTCCGGGTGAACTGTTCCCAATGTTTTTCCTCCACTTGTTCTGTTTAGCTAAAAATGAATGTCACCATGAAGCAAAGGAAGGATGTCACCACTTCTGCTACCCAGGAATTAATTCCTACCGCTGTTCCTGTGCTGATGGCTATGAGCTTGGGCAGGACACAAAACAGTGCATCGCATTAGGTAGGTGTGAGCATGGAAGTACAGGAGGAACCTGTTCAGGGCTGGGATGGGCAGGCCACCACCTGATACCCAGATGTGATCAACCTGCTCTGAGACTCAAGCAATGACAATATTAGTGGGTAGAAAAAGGAGAAATCTAGGGACCACCTAAGATGCCAAAGTAACAGTAAAAGAAGTGATATTTGATCTAAACATTTAAATATGAGTCTGCAGAGAGAACTGGCATCATCTTACATATCACTCACCAGACCAGGTTTTCCACTCCTAGGTTTCGTAAAGAGTAAGTCCACTGAACACCGGTTTGTTTGGGAATGAGGTTCAATTGATTCCCATCAGGCATCTGATGATCTGATAAATGAAGGGTAACATTTGCTGCCATATTAATTAGTTTAAAGCAGTAGCCCTTTTCACCTTTTCAGTCTCATACTAGGTATCTCATTCAATATCATCCCCTTATGAAGTAGGCCTACTAAAAACACAGAAGTATATTTAGACCCATGTCTGTATTAGCAAGTGGGGCAGCCAAATAGGAGTTCAGCTGTAGAGCCACTCTTTTGGTGATGAAAGCCTGATGCTCACACTCAGTGCACACTTCAGGTGGGCTTTACATCAAACTAGCTTTAGTTCAATCCTGTGGACTAAGCACCGATTAGCTACGAGAGTATGCTATGTGTGCTCCTGGAGGGTGTCTTCTGGTTTAGCTTCACCAGAACACAATCCAGTCTGTGTGACCCAAAAGCAAACCACAAGGTGAACTGAAAGTGACAAATGCACATAACTGGGTGATCCAGTTGTAGAGCACTCGTGTTGTTTGAACCATAACAGAAAGGCATGCACATTCCTAGAGTGACAGCTTTAACAAAGAAAACCTCGGATTTACCTTATCTGGACTGGGCCACAGCTATCAGGTATTTGGCACAATTCGAATACAGGATATAAAACTGAAAAAGCAAACTGTGCTGATGCTTGGCTGGAGAGGAAGCGTCATTTCCTTAGTTACAGACACAGTGAAATCCAGTCACTACAATGACCCAAAATGTTCAGCCCCTTGCTAAACTGTTATGACTACAAATGCCAAGCAAATTATTCCAATTCTCATCAGCTGAGAAATCTGTCATTCTCCTTTTCCTTTGTTCAAAAACAAAATCCAAAAGTCAAGGTGGAAGCAATAAGGCATTTGCAGGTATTAGCTATCTTGAAATGGTACAGTACGAGATTTTGAATTTTTTTTAATTCATTTGCTAGATGAATGTGCATGTGGCAGACTTCAAGACAGTGATAATCTGATAAGTGAAACCAGGAAGAAACATGACGAGCGATTTCCCTGGCAGGTATTTCTAGCAATTCATGAAACCCATCACTCAATCTCACATGGACAGTGCTATCTATTGCCTTTTTGCATTTTCTTAGGTGCTACTGCTAAACTCAGAAGGGAAAGGCTTCTGTGGAGGAGTGCTGCTAAAAAGTAACTTCATATTGACCACAGCAGAGTGTGCTCTTCTGCACAACCATTTTGAAATCAGGGTTGGTGCTGGTAAGTGACCCAACACATCTTCTCTTGTTGCAGCACATTTTAGTATTGACAAGCTAAATTTAAAAAAAGCTTACTAAACTTGCTGCTGCATAAAAATATTGTAAAAGGAAACAAATATGCTGTCATTTCATTTAAGCACCTCAGTCAAGTATCTGAGCTAGAACTACAGCTGCCCCATACCTCCTTTACAAGCCAAGCAGAGACAACCGCCTCTTGGACATAATGCAGAACTCAGCATATAGCGATAAGCTAAACATGGTGGATTTAGAGGTGGCTTTTGTTTCATGCCAAAATTCACTTCAGTGTTGGGTTTTTGTCCTTATTGCTGAAATTATGCATGCTTCTACGCAGCATTAAAAAGCCATCAAGGTATTATTCCTACTTTCCCTTTACTGCAGCAGTTCTGAGTTTCTCTGCCGCACGTGTTCCTCAGCACGACCAGGCAGTCTTGCATGCAGCTTACAGGTCTCTGATAAACTATTCCTAAGAGCAGTTGAAATGCCATTGCTTCACAGGGCCTAATGGAACAAGTGGAACTGAGAAGATAATGCAAGTTAGTGAGAAGCACATACACATCCGGTATGATGAAGACACTGGTGAGAACAACATTGCAGTGCTACAGCTTCAAGGGCATGTTGAGTGCAACAACTACCAGCTTCCTGTATGTGCCCCTGAAAGAGACTTCGCAGAACACGTTTTAATTCCAAAATTGGCTGGTACAGTTAGTGGCTGGAGCATAGAAGGTGATGAACTTAAAGTTGATGAGCTGCAGGTTTTGTACCTTCCTGCTGAGGACTGCAAACAAATACTCAACATCAGCCTCACAAACAGGCAGTTTTGTGGGCACCTCCAGAAGGCCGTAGACAAACGACTGGCTGGAGGAAGCTTTTTAGCTACCGAGTATAAGGGCACTTGGTTTCTGACTGGTATCCTGGGATCTTGGCCACTAGAAGACACTGACTGGGAAACACTTCTATTCACCAACACCGCAAGGTATATGATATGGGTTAAACAAAAAATGAAATAAGACACAAACACAACCAACTCTCAAGCACCAAACGCCTACCAATCATGGCAAGGAAACATATGGATGCAGCCAGTACACCCATTTGACTGTATCACAATTCACAGCAATGGAAGTTGCAATGATGGCACGTATTTAACTCCAAGTTACACAGAAAAGCCTGTTTGTCTTTCCTTCTTCTGCTGACACACAGTACTGTGGAAGTCATGATGCAGTAAACCTAGTTATTTTATGAAAAACTGATTTAACTTTAAATTTCTTAGAACTGTTCATCCTAAAACTCCAAACACTTTGATGTTTTTCTGGGATTTTAAATAGCGCTAGAAGGAAATGAGTCTTTTCAATTCTTGGTACCCTGAGGTTTACTTCAGCAAATTCATACTCTTATTTCAAGATTCATACAAGTAAAACTTACAAAGACCAGGGGAACTTCCTTTACATGTCTGTGTTAATGACTGTGTAAGGTCTTGACACTTTCATCATGTTTAAAAGTGCTTCCCCTCATACATGGTACCTGTGTTTTCCCTTATGAACGATGTTCATGTCAGAGGATAAAATAAAACCCAACTGTAAAAGATAGGAAAAGAAAAAGTTTAATTTCCTTTTAAAATAATTTTAAAACCCCCAAACTACCATCTCATCAGTTTGGACAAAGTTACATTGTACCAAACCCAAATAAGCAAACCAGCCAACCCCCCAAGGTAATAACACTTAAAATACTGGATACGGTGGTAGTGTTTTCCCCAGAAGCAAAATAAAACAGACTATGGGTAAGTTGGCTACATCATCTTTTGTTCACCATTATAGAAATAAAACAAATATCACCAGAACTAAAAAAAAACCAAACCCATCTGTGGGCACCTACAGACAAATTGCCCACATTTACTTGAACCTGTAAGTATTACTGACACAGTAAAGCTTTTGGTGTCAAGCACTTCTCTAGTTTCTAGAGAAAGCTTGAAGAGAATATTTAATACCAGCAAGATAATCAAAGAGACTTAAAAAAAATGGAAACCATGTAAGAAAACATTATTTCCATTCTGAAGAATGGATGAACACGAGTAACAAAGGCTGACACTTCTCTCTGAAAGATAAATGCAAAAATAGTAACACAAAGTACTTTATAAAAACTTTTAAGTAATTTGTGAGTAATTTGGAATGCTTTGCTTTATTTCTTCAGGAAATACTTGGAATTATCTAGAAAGCCTGTGGAAATTATTATTTAAAAGTCAGCATTTCATTCCAACGCACTTTGTAACACTGGCAGTCTTGGTCCTTCTGGGAAAGGAGCCACAAACAGTTCCTGGTATTCCAGTTCTGGACATGAACCAGGCAATTTACAGTGTCCTTGGGGTGATTAGGAGCAGTTCCACTGGACAAGCCGAGTACCTGGGAAGCACTTGCATGGATAAGATGCAATACTCAACACACCGTTGACAGTGGAGGAAATGGGTTCTGCTTACTGACCACAAGCTTCTGATGCTGGTGGGATATGTAGCCTTTAATGTGACCCTGGCAGAAGGAGAAAAAGGGAGCATTAGTACGGGCAGCTGGTAACACAAGGCCTGTAACCTAGGCAAATACCTATAACCTAACCACAGCAGTGTGTGTATGCTCAATCACTGCTGCACTACTGAACTTAATATCTATAAGGGTCCAATTTATGTCAACTCGGAGAGTAAGCAGAAAGTTGGAACCATCCCTGTGTTTGGGTACTACCTACCCTCTCAGTTTGAGGGCCTCTTGCCAGGGCCCCCTATTGGTCTGCTTACATTATCTTGAAGAGACACAGCTTTACAGAAGTGTTTCTAAATTTACTCTTTGTTCACTTTAAAATGAGGATTTTAATCAATTAGTATTCCACACCTAATAAAGTAAATTACATAGTACTTCCTTTTCAAACATTGTGCTGCAACACTGAAAGAAATCTTCCAGTGACCTACACCACATCACATAATCTGTTTCATTTTCTTGCTGAAATCACAGTGCTGCTCCAAAACCTCTGATTTAATAGAAATCTTTACATTTCAAGCCTTTATCTGTTCATGAGTAGTTGAAATCCCCTTAGAGTAAAAGACAAAATGTGGAACAAACCCAAAGAAATCTGACTTTATTTTTTTCTAATGTTAGAAGGTCAAGAGTCTCCTACTTCAAATGCAGAACAAATCCTTTTTGGTCCCAGTTAAAATGTTTGTATTTTTAAATCAATATTTATGCATATATAGAAAAAATGGCAGTACCAGATTTGTAATGTAAAATTCAATTTTAACTGATTCCTGCAAAAAAAAAGGCAGGAACTAGAGGAAGTCCTCAGGGTAAATGAAAACATTTGACTTTGAGCACAAGTGAATCAACTGTTTTACACAAGAAAATGTGGGATTACTGATGTGGTTTTTGTAATAAACTTTTATTCTCTGTCCAATATTTTTTACTGCCTCATGTCTGGAAGGACCACACAACAAGTGGTCAGCACATACCATGTATATAAGGTTAGCTAAAATGCACTGGACTTCATCAATATCAACATCCTCTACTTGCATGAACTTCAGGGCAATCAGAAAGGCATCTAGAGATAGCTGATGGGTTTTGAGTAGTAAATATCTGAAAGACACAACAGAACAAATGTGTTATTGAGAAATACTTAAAAATTCTGGTTCTTAGAAAAATAGCCTTTCTACAATAAATTCAATTCAAGAGGAAATCAGGTCTCTCAGAGGGAACTAAGGAGCATATATAACCAAATACAGGTTTTGTTATGCTTACACTTTCTTAAAGAGATTTCTGTATGTGATGATTTTCAGCTTCTCAAGGATAAGAAAGATTCCACATCGAATAAAGAAGGTCTCATGCTTTGTCAGAGCATCATTCAGTAGAAGAAGATTGCCTTCACTGCAAGGATGAATAAATTAAAAAATAAGAAGGTCTCACCCAAATGAGAAAAGAAATTCTCTGACTTGGTAGGAATATGCATCCCCTGCCTTCCTCAATGATCCCAAATAAATACCTTTTACTTAATACTTTGTGAACACAAAGCAACAAAACAGGCATCATACCTCACAGACTTTGTTACTTCAGCAAACTGCATAAGGTCATACTTTTTTAAGAGCTGAACTGTTGGCATATGGCCCTGAAAAATAAACGGTTTCCAAGTTTTCCAGGGTAAAGTCAAATGCATTTTAAATAGAATCTAATAAGCTACAAGAAATTTGTGAAGAGAAAAAGACAAATGTTTAGCCACTTTTTTTTGCTACAGAATAAGAAGCAAATAAAAGTATTTGTAAGACAATCTCTTTGTCCCTGTCAAACACTTTGTAACTCAACTCACAATAACTACTGATTTCCCATGATTTAGGGAGCCTTCATACTTACTGTTAGGAAACAGCTATCAAATTTGTAAAATCAAGATCCCATGCCATGAGGCCTATGCAGATTCAAATTTTATGTCATGACTGTATGATCTAATCTGCAAACAGAAGAACTGTGGAAATACCAAGCATTCCTAAGGGAATACAAACAGTGCTGTAGCACTGTCAAATGCCAGCTCAGTCTGTAGCAGAGATTTTATTCTCTCTGCCTCCATGTGGAAATAAAAATGTCCCCTCAAAAAACAAGCACCACCACCAACCTCCTTTCCCCCTTCCAAAAAAAAAAAAAAGAGAGAGAGAGGAAATGTTAAATTTAAAGAAACAAAATTAATTCTCATTGCTGAATCAGGTAAGACTGAACCATCTACACTATCAAAAGGAAACTTTGGTTTTTCCCCATGCACAACAAAGATCAGATTGCACATTGACTTGGTCAGACTTTAAATTTAGTTACATCATGCTATGCTGTTGGTAACTCCTTTCCTGGATGGAGGATTAGCTGAGAGCAGAACTCGGCTGCATGTTTACTTGAGAGCTGCTAGGAATTAAAAAAAAAACAACATCCAAACTATTTTAGCACAGTTTAAGGTTAGTGTTAATGTTTAGGCTCTGATTTAAAAAAAGTAACTGTAAAACCAGTGACTTTTATCTAGTTTCTTTAGTGGCTCTTGTACATTAGAACTGCTCCAGAAAAGCCACAGTAATTCTAGACACTACCAAACCCACCAGTTTAAGGCACCCAGTCAGGACTGTGACAGTTTTTAGGAGGACTGTTAGTTTTCCTTTATCAACCCTACCATTGATTGATCTGAAAGTAACCAATAACAAAGTCAATAAATAAAAAACAGAAAAGAGAAGCCAATTATCATACCCATTATGCTTCCCCTTTACCCACTGGACACAGCAAGGGACTGGACAGGGAGCATTGAATGGAAAAGGGAGAGTGGTCACAAATAGATTGTGGCAACTCAACAGAGGCAGGTGATAACATTATCCATGGGTAACTTTCGTAACAGGGTTGGGAAGAGGAAACTCTAAAGTCTAATTCTTGTCCCCTCAGTTACACTGAATTAATTGTTAGCATAATTGCACTAATTCAGGGATAGACAAATATTAACACAGCACATGGGAAAGGACAGGAACAAGAAACAGATGTGTTTCATTCTTTTAACAGAAATACAAAATTATCAGATACTAACCAATCTTCAGTGATTTTTCCAAAACCAAAATGCTCTACCTCATGACCCTTCTGACATGGGCAAATATACAAAGTGCAAATAGAAAACTCAAAGACAGGCTGTGGCTGTGGCTCTCAACAGTCCTCAGCCATCTGTTTGCACATCCTCCTTTCTTCCACTAGGTGAAAGAAGATCAATTTATCCTAGTGAATTCACACATTCCCTGGCTCGTCTGTGCAGCTGATCACCAGAGATGCACACTGCTACCTGACAGAAGTTACACTGTTAAGTGCTTCTCCAAAGAACTCAAAGATATCTTTCTTACAGAAGTATCATCAGACTGCACCTTCAGGAGGGGTGGGAGGAAGGTAGGGGGAAAGGAGGAACAGGTTGGTTTTGTTAAGGTGGGCCGGGGAGGGATTTGTTTGTTTGTTTGGCTGTGTTTCCACCCCTCCATTTCCCCTTTCCTGTTTTGCTATAAATGACAGCTCAACTTTTTTGTCCTCAAACAACAAAGTGTGCATGTGCTGGCTCTTACAGGGGTAAAACACAGCCTCTGAATTCCAGTAAGGGAAAACCAAGAACAATACTGAGCATCAGGTTTACTATCTGTGTGTGTGTCCCCCTCCTCCCCTTAAATAACATCTACTCACCAACAACATTTTTACTGGCAGCAGGTAGATCAAAATCATTCTTTTATTCTTCTGGCTTGATCGGTGACAGTGCTCAAAGGCAAATGACAGATACTCTTCAGCTGCAGACACAAATGCAAGCACCAGTAACATGAGTCAACAACAAAAACAGATTAAAACTGTAACTCAAATTCTGTGCTCAATTTCCACCTCTAGCTTGAACATGACATCTGAAATTACATAAAAAATAATCACACCAATCAAAATACATGAAAAAAAATTGGAGATTCACACAAAATACAGAGTATTACCAGAAAAGTAAGTTCTCCTTCATAAAGTCAAAGAAAACTTGCCAAGGTCTGGATATCAGACATAACAGTTACAAGCAATATTGGAATTTTCAGCTCATTTCTGTAATATTATTGTGCTCCTATTACAGGAGCAGAGAATCTCAAGAAGCGCTGATGATACAGCACTCTATTTTCTAAATTCAGATTAGGTTCTTCAGTGGATGAAAGCTGCATGCAATGCACACATCTGCTGAGCTGCAGAAATGTGCCAGCAAGACCACACAGCATAACAACATGAAAATCTCTCAGCAATTTCCAATAACAGATAAAAATGACAAGCCTGACAGGCAGAAGACAGTGTTAAGAGTAACAAAACCAGCTCCAGAATAGATTTTGGTCAGGGGCTTCAGTTAATGATGAAGTTGTACACCTTACCTCTAGAAGCATTTCTATTAGTGAAATCTACTAGAAATCTATGAAAAGCAGTTTCTACATCTTCCAAAATCAATGCACCGAGCAATTAATATCTACATTACAGTTTGCTGAAGATTTCCTACATGGCACACAGCAACATGAAGAGGACAAAAGAGCTGCAAAGTCTCCTTTGTGAAACCTTTTACAAACCTATTCTTCTGGATGGTCATACATTTTGTAATGCACACACATAACACATAAGACTACAGGGAACCTCACTGAACCTCATGCAAATATTTTAAAACTGGACATATACTACAATTAGAAGTGTCACATAATCTCATCTCTGTTCTGAGTCTGTCTGTGGGCCTTTCAGCATGACTTTCCTTTAATCCATGCGAACACAACTGCATCTTCAACTCATGTTTTGAGTCACATACAACATCAGATTTCACACCAAGCAGAAAGACTTTCAATGTGTCTTTCTGGCACACAGTACCTTGCTTAAAGTCACTGTCAAACATGGCTTTGCGTCCAACATAATATTTGTACGTAACTCGCTGTGCCATACTATATTCATCCTTCAGATTTGAGCTGTCAATTGCTCTAATTAAGGGCTTACATAGATGGAGTTTGTTGATCTGTTAAAAAAAAAAATTGCATTTTACTTAGAGAGTGTAGATAAACAGCATCATATAAAAAAGGGTGGGTTTGACTTAGAATATGAAATACAGAAAACAGCTTACCAGACTTGAACCCTACCTTAAAATAAATTTTAAACAGCTGATTAACAAGAAACAACATGCCCCACTTTTTGGAGTCTTCAATGCCCGCTCGTCTGTCAAAAGCAAAAAGAAAAAATCTACTAGTACGGAACCCTTTAAGAAAATAACTATTTTGTCTTTATAGTAAATTCACTTAATAGATATTTTATGGATTTTTAGGGTAAACATAGGTGTCTGAAAATAAAAGTCACTGCCAAATTCCTTAAACTCTTTATAGGCATACCAGCATTGTCAAAACAGAACATGTGTTTCCATATAAATACCTCTGCTACATTTTTTCTCAATGCCATGAAAAGGTGTCATGCAAAGTACTATCCATCTGCATGAGGGCTCTCACTCTAGTCTGCAGGTAACACATACACTAGTACAGCAGTGACTTATAATATTTGAGATGAAAGATTGGGAAAAAAAGCATTTTTCCACTTCAGAAGTGTTAAAACTGCAAAGACTGGAGACCAAAGTTTTCATCTTTCATTAGGCTTTTCCATCTAAGCCTAATGGAGCAAATTTCACAATTGAACAGGGCACAAAAGCACTAATCACCTTTTCTGAGAAACAGGGACATAATCAGTCCCTCCCAACGACATCTGCTGGGAATGCAGCCTGAAGCGAGGGCTCTCTATTTCTAGTCAATAGTCAGAGAGAACAGACTAAAAATTACAGGAAACAAGACTCAGAAGTCTTTATTCTTACCCATACATGGCCTTAGTAAGTGGGAAAAGCTAAAGTAAAGTTCATAAAGCTCTTAACAATTTCGTAGTGCAAGTTCTATAGAGGGTCTTTCACTTACGTGTCACTGGCACAGACTCGAAAACAGCTCATCAGTAGTTCTGCTGCTTTTTCCAACATGTCACCAACCTTGCTTTTCCCTTTCTTCACAAGCTGTTGATCTGCCTAGAATTACACAGCAAGAAACAATATGTAATTCTACATCCTGGTTTGCTGGGTTGCAAACAATTTAGTTCCTTAATACAGCATTTTATAAAGTATTATAGCAATAGATTTGTCATGCCTGCTATCTCCCAAATCTAGAAGGCAATCAGGCTCACGGAATAAAAGGAAACACTTGGAGAGGCTCCTGAACATGTACCAAATCTAATACACAGGAGGACAGTCCTTTGAAAATACGTAAATCTCAGAAACCTAAATTCAGGTTCAATACCTGAAGTGGAGCATTAAAACTTCAACTCAAGTTTACAAAGACCAAGAGTCTGGAAAAAAATTACGGAGTTTGAGTTTTAGAATTCCTTATTCAGTTTCTCTCCACAGCCATGAAGACTAGACTTTATTTCTAAACCATATGCAAAATTTTCCAGTAGTAATGCACAATGCTGAGACCTGAGACTTCCAGAAGAAACATAAAACCTATGTTACAGCAGCAAGAGAAAAAAAAGAGAATTCAGTTGTCAACACATGGGAAAGATCCGTGCACTGACTAATGCAGAACTTCAACAGAAAAAACATAGCAAGTAGGTATTTATTACTTTTTTAAAAGTTTTACTATGGTGCTTGCACTCTCACTAGCTGAAACATAACGAAATGGAAATGCATCCTCTGCTACAGAAGTCTTCTCTGCATTCACATCCTTTGAATATACTACAGTTAGAAGACAGAGTCCAAATACTTCCAGTATGACTGGTTCAACATTCCCCTTTCTCATGCATCTCAGATATATGGATTTGTCTCATTCAGACTGAGAACTGAGACTTGTTACAGAGCAGTCACACACACAAAAAATATTCTCTGTGCAAGCATGCCACATGCGTGGTTTCGTGGGTAAGAGTGACAAGAGCACAAGAGTGCTGAGTGGATATTATCACAAAAACTCTAACCTAACTTGAACTTTAGCTTCACCTCTTCAGGTAAAGTGACTAGGAGCAAATCACAACTCTGCCACTTACCTTGGCCTAGCAGTTCTCAATAGATCTCTACCCAAGCTACTTCAATTCACCAGCACAAGAAAAATAATGTAAATTTGGGGATTATTTGCATGTCAGCAGTTGTATAGCTCAGAAAGGGCTCCAATGAGTATCAAAAGCAGTGCACACAGCTAGAAAAGGGGAAAGGAGCAGAAACTCCCCTCTTCAGATGTGGTGAATGGTTAGATTAGCTCAGCTATCTGTGATACCTGCACCCTTATAAAGATTTCCACCAAATCCCAAGGATAACACGTGGAAACAGTGAGTTGTGACATATGCTACTCAATAAAGAAAATATTCAATCCCTTCATGAGTTCTAAGCAATTGCTAGGAGTTGCATGCAGGTCCTCAGAACCCCTCTAGTTCAAGCTGCAAATGAGAGATGGACAGACTGAGTAACCTCATTTTTCAATAGGACTGGATGAATTTAGTTTGTCAACAATATCCTAAATAACAAGTTAAAGAACAAAATTAGGCTGTGCAATAAAGTCTAAAAAAATTTCCATTGTAGAAATACCAAACAGGTAAAAGCAATGAGGTTCTTAGTCAGATCTACTTACATTATTAGCAAAAATTCGAAGATCAAGGGCTACAGCATACATAATAGGTAAGGCCCTGAAAAAGTAAAACACAATATACTTAGTATATGCGAATCATGCAATAAGTAAAACATGAGAAAAAAGCAATTTTTTTGTTAGTTGATCATAAAATCAGAAAAGTATACATTAATCTTTAAATAAAGATGGATGCATTTTTTAAAAGGAAAGTTCTTCAAGTTCTCAGCATTTTATAAATCTACACTGCAATTATTATTTCTGAAGCCTTTTTTAATGTGACTTTTTAAAATACTAACTCCCTTTGAATAAACTCTTCACGTGTTCACTTACGGACCATTCTACATAATTAGGTGCAGATGTTTAGTTTTCACACTTTTGAACATAAAAACTCAAACATGCAGCAAAAGCAATTAGGTTGGATTTAAGTATCACTAGGGATAAATAAAAATTATAGCCATAATTTTATTTGACTACTACAGTATCAAATGGAAAAGATGAGTCTAGTTTCTAGAAGCTTTCTATGATGTACTCACCAATTTTCTTCTTTATGTGCCTGAAATGCTCGCAGGAAAGATGTAATGTATTCAGGAGAATTTAAAATGCCATGACATGAAGCACATATTTAAGAAACAGCAGTTGAATGGTACCATATATTACTACATGAAAGACTAGAAACCAAAAAAGCATCAAGTAGTTGAGGATGCAAAGACACATTATGGAAGAACGTGAGCACAGCCAAGCATTCCTTCATGTGGCAGCAGCAGCAAGAAACACTGGCCAGAGATAAGATAGAAGCTTCTTTAGCATTATTTTCCCCTCTAGCCAAGTATGAACTGCAAGGTATATTAATGATTTGACGGTTTTCTATACTCTGGGAGAAATTAATTTTCTATTTGAGAGCCAGGTGACAGATTCCTTCTTAGCGCTACAGAAAGTTGAAAGAAGAGTGTATCTGGATTTCCTTGCTTAGGAACCTAAGCAGCTGAAGTGGAAGCAAATCACATTCTATTAGATTTTTAGAAGGCATAAGGAGAACTTTTTCTACAAGAAGACAGAATTAATCTGAAAACAATATACAAGAGTTATGGAAAAGGATATTGGACAATAACTGTCTGGCATTTGTATGCTTCTATAAAATCATGGTTTCCAACAGCATAAGTACACCTGTCAAAGAAAAAGTGCATTAGTGCATCAGAAAATACATGTAAAACAAATATTTCTTTTTGTCTCTTAACAGGCATAAAGTTTTACAGTTTATTTAAGAGACACAGAAATGTGATTAGAATGTTCCTAACAAAATGGCACAAGTATTTTAACAGAGCACTAAGTTTGATAATTGTAGAAAACTGATCCAAGAGATGGACAAGGATTTATTAAGCTAATACTTACTGAAATGGTTAGCAAGATTAGATAAAAAACAAAAATCCAAGACTGTTGAAAGAGAACTAAAGACTATGTTAATGCAATTTTTTTTAAATAAAAGTCTCACAGAATTACTTAGGTACTACAGCTGCCTTAAGAGTACTTTTATGACTAAAATTCCCTTTTAAAAATGTTTCTTTTATTTCATTGAAAATTCTTATGTAGCTAGTGCACACAGAGCAAGGGAAACACTGAAACCAAAGCTGTGCCAAAGGCTATATGCAGATGACTGCCAGGTACACAGAGCAAACTTTATATGGAGAGGAGAAAGTCTTTATTTCCTGCAGCTCTTTAAGAGTAATAAATACCAAGTTTCCAGATGTAAGCCCTTTAAAATAGGTAAGTAAACTTAAGGATATCTCCTTCCCCATCCCTGCTGGATGCCTCACAAGTGACTTTACATTCCAGGCCCATCTTTACCTTAAGTGGGCTGAAAACATTTCATCATATGGTGGCTCCAAAACTTGTTGACACTTCTCCTCTGGAGATGGAAGCTAAGTATAGAATAAAATAAACATTAAAGGAACATCCAATGCACCAGAAACAGAGTGTCATATGGATATTTTGTCATGGCAGTTTTCACAGAATCACAGAATTGTTAGGGCTGGAAGAGACCTCTGGAGACCATCTGGTATCATGGCATCTATCAGAATCTTAAGTTATATTAAAAATCACATTCAGTGCAATGAATTGCTACTGTGCATTCTGTCTCCAGAACCTGATCAGAGCCAGCCTCAAAGTCATGGCTGGGCTTCGCAAACGAAGATTTGGGAAGGCTCTATCCACGTTTGTTACAGGCACGCTGGTGGTTTATGAGGCCATTACGACATAGACATAGCCGGTTGCAAAAGGCACAGCAGAAAGACTCCTTAGGTAGTATCAACAAGACACGATTCTTTCTGCGTTGTCCTTTCTCCTCAAGAGTGATCCTGTGTGTGTTCTCAAAGGCATCAGCAGCATTATAGATGGTGTGTCTCCAGACCTCCTGACTGGAGGAGACCAATTATGTTGATCAATATGGCAGAGGCTGAGATGTTGTTTCAGGGAGTCCTTGTATCTTTTCTTCGGGGCTCCTCTCCTGCGGCAGCCGGTGGCAAGTTCACCATAAAGCAGGATCTTAGGGAGGCGGTGGTCCTTCATCCTGGAGATGTGCCCTGCCCAACACAGCTGTGTTCTCAGTAACATGGCCTCAATGCTTGTGACTGCTGCTTGTTCTAGAACAGATGTATTGGTCACATAATCTGACCAGTGGATGTTTAGGATTGTACAGAGGCAGCGTTGATGGAAGCGTTCTAGGAGACGCAGGTGGTGGTGGTAGATGACCCATGATTCAGAACCATATGAGAGAGTAGACAACACTATGGCTTTGTAAACACTGATCTTGGTACTTTTCTTCAAGTGTTTATTACGCCACACTCTTTTATCAAAGGTAGCCTTAAGTAAAAGCATTTGAAATGCACAGATCACAAACACCAGGCCCTTCCTTCCCCCTGTTTTTTTTCTCTATAGTCACTTCCACTCTGTCATGTTAATTACTAATGTAGACCTGGTGAGAAAGGACTTTCAAGACTGTACCTATCCAGAACACTAAGAACCATTCATGAAACAAAATAATTTAAAAAAAAAGAAATATAGAATATCCCTGTAAAAAGAAAAGAGAAGCAAAACTACAAGGGGATCCTGCTCTGGCCTATGAAACAGGTTCCTGAGATTTATCTCCAATGGAAAGGAACCCACATAGAAAGCTAGGAAAACTGAAAGCAGAGCAAAAGAAAGATCAAAACTAGATTCTCACCTGTAGTCTTGGGTTTGCTACATGTGGATGTTTAAATGATACTAATTCCGCACAAAATTGTCCATCTCTGCTGTCAATGGCTTCTTGTACCTACCAAAGTAAACAGCCTCATTACAGAATAAAATCCAGCAATACACACACAATATATTTACACAACTACAGAAGTCACCTTCTTGTTACCACCGTTCATCCTCATTAATATCCACTCAAATCTGAGTTTTTAAAGGTTTAAAACTGAATGAGTAATTTTGTATTTTCAATACACCTGTTTTCAAAAAGGTCCCAGAGAGAAGGCAGGGTGAACACTATTGTGTTTTTTTCCTTATTTGTAGGATACAAGCAAATCAGAGGATCCCCACACAACGTACATGGGCTTAGCATTGTGAAACAGCAGTTGTGAGCCATATTCCAGTTGGACTCATGGGCATCAAACACGGATGTGAAGTTACAATCCTTGAGAAATGCTTTAGAATAAAGTCAGGCAGACTTAAGATGTAGATATCATTCAAAAGCAGTATCTGATATTAGACTGGCATCTATACAGAACACTTCTGAAATCTGTTAAGACTGTCAGTGTTATATTCTGTGGGAGAATGGTTTAATTCTGCTTCCTGCTAAAGATAACTCCTTGTAAACATTAGTCTGCCTGACCAGTTTATTGTGACATCAAAATGGAAATTTCTTCAGTTGTGGAAGTAGTTTTAGATATTACTTCTTCTGAGTTCATTTCCCACTGCTTGTGCTTTATTTGTCATATTTTTGTGTCCCAATATGGAAAAAAAATCTTTTTGCTGTATGGAAATATATATCAAATGGGAAAAAAATTATAGACTAAAATATCAGCAAAAGAGGAAAAATCAGCTGTTTGAACTCTTTCAAAAATTGGCAGTGATTTTTTCCTTCAGGAAAAGGAAGAGCTAATTTTGTGGTGTTTAAGTAGTTTTTTCCTATTAAATATTCAGCGTACTGTCCACTGGACAAGATGTTGACTTTTCAGAGCAGATCATTGTCCAGAGTGATCTCAAGATGCTCCATTTTTGGAGACTAAAACCCAAACAATTGCTCTCTTTTTCTGCCCTTCACTTAACTGACTTGACTGATGTCAGGTGCAGTAAGATAACAATGATGAGAATGCAGTGGTCCCGAAAGAACCAGCAGGAGTGGACACTGAAAGCTTGACACTGACAATTAAGTCCAGATGGTGTCCCTGTGATTCTGCTCCCGTTTCTCCATCCTCTCTGCCGTACATTCAGTATCTCTGCATTTCTGATCTTAAATCCCTGTGTTTCTCGAATCCCTGAGCTGCACCTGTTCCTGCACTCTCTCACCATCCCTCCGTGTCGGTTCTCACGGATAAATTACCTCGCTATCCATTACACCAGAAACCATCACACCTTTCGGGCATTCCAGGTACAGGCCCTCGGCACTCAGACGGCGTGTGTAAAGAAATATATTTCTTCACCACATCGCTCGTTCTATTTCTAAAACAAGACAACCTATTTACAGCAACGCATTTACACCCACATACTCAGCGCCCACAAATTAATTTTAAAAAAAATCAGAAAAACTCTGGCTTACTTGCTGCAAATACTGATTTATGGTGATGTGCGCCATTAAACCGTAAGCAGGCAAGGCAAGAG